AAGTCTTATTCATAGAAATATCTAAATCTAGTTAAATTACTGTTATAATTAAAATATTATTATTATGACAAGTAATAGCGATAATAACGATAATAAACCTAAATCTGTTAGATTAAAAAATTTTTCTCAAAGGATTGATTTATTTGTGAAAAATTAATCTCTATAAAGTTTCATTAATAGAATCAGGTTTTTTTCCTTTTAACATCAAAGTGGACTGTTTTGATGAAAATGTAATTTATAACTACGCAGGTTTTTTTTTCTCCAGTTATTTAAAACGAACTCTTACGTTGTTTGTCAAACTTTAATATGGTTAAGAATATCATTGTTTTGTATTATAGTCTGAAATTATTTATAATTTCAATTTTAATTAACAGTCTAGAAATTGTGTGATAGACAGAAGAGTAGCTAACAAGAAGGCAAACTGAGAAAGGTTGACGAGATGCTACTTAGTTTTTTTGCGTTTAAAAAAAGATATAGAAAATGAGGAGGTGTGGAACGAAACTATAAAGAGAAAACCAAGAGTAGGAAGTTGGTGGGTAGGTAGATAGTCAGGTAGATGTGTATAGAGTATATTAGGCACCTAGGTATCTAGGTAGCTAAGGAAGAGAAGAAGTGTGTATATTTTAAGTAATTGAATAATAAAATAGGTTTAATAAATTCTCTCTTTCTCTACCCATGCATAAAGATAAGTCTTTTATTCCTTAGTATATACTGCAACAGATTCTTTAAAAATTTTAATAATAAGATAAAACTCTTTTAAATTATTAAGTTAAAATGATGCTCTATCGGTGAGAAATAAGATGAGAGAAAATAGAGAAAAAAAGCATTGATTTCTTTCTCTTTACCATCAGTCTTTACTAATTATATTCTATCAAAAAAAAGAGAAAAATTTGGCTTTGTATACAGGAAATGGAATTAAAAAATATATAATTCTCTAGTCCTCGAGTTAAACAGTCTTAAGGCAGTATTATATTTTTTTGCCTTAGCAGGAAATTGATATTTTCAAAAATCCATTCTTTCAATTCAATTACCCCTCTTACAACAACACATTAAGTTCTAATTGAATCATTCTTTTATGAAAGCCTACTTTGTTTATTATAAGAGGATACTCTTAAAAGATAGTAAAAACGTTACTTTCTTTATCAATGATTTTAATAGTAAAAACGAAACTAATATAATTTTACAAGAATGGAAGTAAAGAGAATAAAAGAATGAATGAATGATCGATTGATTTAGTGAGTGAGTGAGTGAGTGAGTGATTGAGAAAAAAAAAACAACAACAAACGTTAAATTAGAAAAAGTATTAATCATGCAAACTGTTTGATTTATCATATTTATAAAAAGCACTAAATTCCCTTTCAACAACCAAGTTTTTCGTTAGCAAATATTTTCAGTTTAACTAATTAAAGTCACGACAAATTAATAAGTAAAAGTAAAAGAGTTAAATGCGCTTAATAAAAATATTAATCTTTTTCCATGTATAACTAACTGCGTGCGGTAAATACATTTCTTCTCTTTTTTGGGGTAAGATAATTAAGGGGCTGTTTTTCTTCTTCTAATCTACTTGTAGCCTCTCTCGCTCTGTCTGTACATGTGCACACGTAAAAATAGCATATTCTATATACCGTTTATACACAATATATAGAAATGGAAAGATTAGTAAAAGGAAGGAAGTTGAATTGCCTGAGCAAAATATAATTTTAATGTGATTTTATTATTTCTTTCTAAGAAAGATATTCTAAAAATAATGTCCGTCAGACGATCTAGTCACGTTTCTGCTTAAACTTTTATATGTTCTTTTTATCCGTTATTCAATCTTTAAAAATTACAGAATAAACAAGGAAAAGAACTTTTATCAACCGAAGTTTTAAACGTATACTTTCTTTTTTTTATTTGTTTTCTTTGAAGGATGACGAAAACAAATTCTCTCAAAAAAGGGACAAGTCGATATTTAATAATAATAAAGAGAAAAAGACAGTTCCTTTTAAACTCCTTCCCGCTCCTCTTCTTCTTTGTTTTTTTAAGTAAAATGCTTATTGTCATTGTTGAAAGATTTTATAAAGTTTACATTCAGAATGAAAGTTCTTTATTCAATATTCCCTTGGTAAATGTTTTAGCTTAATTACGAGTATTTAATTAACAAATGGATGAATGAAATAGGTTGAAGATTCTGTTTTATATGAAATATGTTTGCTTCGGGCATAACTTTGTAAAAGAGGATTGGAGAAAAGGAGAATTAAACATAAATTTTTGCTGTTAACCTAACCAATGAAAATGGTTAGATCGATTTCAGAAAAGCGTTTCTTTCTTCCTTTGTACTTTTTACCTTTATTTTACCTTATTCATTCTCTAAAGCCTACTCTTAAAGAGAAAAACAATTTTATGGTAAAATACTGTAAACGGAAAGAAATAGAAGAGAAAAGAAGAAAACTAATTATCAATCAATTGACCATAACTTTTAGTTCTTTACAGTCGGCAAGAGGTTCTTGTATTTGCTTTTTATTTCTGTCATCTTGAAAAGAAAAGATTTCTTTTAATCTTATGAGAAAGAAATTAGATAGACGAAAAGTAAAAAAGAAGAAATAAAAATGATTGATTTTTAAATGTTAAAACTGATTACATCAAGCCGCGTTGTTGTTGAGTGCAATTGAAGTCATCTGGTTTAGGATGAAGAAAGAGCACTATGTCTATATTCTATACTTTTTATTTGCTTTCTTTTTAAATTGATATACTTATTCCATTAAATTTGTATAAACCTTGAACGTATGAATGTTTTTCTTCCTCTCTCTTCTTGGACTATTATTTAACACATTTTCGAGGAAGGTTGTTTGCTGTAAAACTCTCTATTTAATATTCAAATAAGCTCTTTTATATAAGTTCATCATTAATAGTATATTGTAAAATATGTATATATATATATATATATATATATATATATATACAGTATCTAAGACATAATTTTATATACATACTGAATAATAGTTAATCTTTGATAGAAATGATGAAGTTTCCATCTGTTAGATATAACTGATAAGATTAAAGTCTGCAAAATTATAGACGCCTTACATTTAAAGCGAATAAAGAGATACGTTAGATATACATAAATTAACCTAGATATTAATAAAACAATATAATCTATTACAGTTTGAATGATTTGATCTATCATTCAAGTACAGTATATAGTTCTAACACCAAAACCTTTTATTTTCTCACTACGGTCGGTGTTTACAGCTTAAATAATCGAACAAGAAATGTTTAATGTCTGTATTGTTTATTTAATAATATTTGTGAAAATAACAACAGCTACGTTTTCATCGCCTTGCTGGAGAACGAAGAGGTTGACATTAAATTTGTCGTGGTATGGAATTTCTTGGAACTTGTCGTGAAACCCGTTTCATTCTCATTATTATCTTAAGAAAAATAGGAACCCTCATACAAGTTACACTTTGAAGACACCACCTTAGGCCAACACTGGCTCCAGAGCAAATAAAACTTCGTATCAGACCATTTCCAGTTCCTGTGGGTCTTTTTTCCCTATAGCTTTTTACCCTTGACGAAAAAGTGACAGATTATGGAATTGTTCTGTCCCGACCAAATTTAAGACTTTTTCTCATTAAAGATTAATTTAGAAAAAAAGTGCGAACAGAAATTATAGAATTATTGAACGATATCTTTTTAATTCATTCAATGAGCCAGAGGAAGGAATATTCGTTCATTACTATATACTCAATCCACTACGTTTTGTTAGGTTGTTGATGGCTAGAAGGGAAAGGGGGAATTTTAAGAGACTTTTCAATGCTTACCAGGCTGCTCATCAAGGAAATTAATGGCAATCTCTTTGCCATTCTTCTTCCAAGGTTTATATCCATATACAACCGCAGTTTATCTGAGGTAGCGATTTTTTTTGTACAGCAAGACGAAAAGACAAAAAACAGCAGGAATGAAAGAGAATAGCCAGATAGTCCTCCTTCGTATTCATTCAAGAGTTAATAAAGTTGTATTTACAGTATTATACACTACTATCTATTTATATATATATATATATATATACTGTATATACAGTAAATGTTGTAAATATGAATTGTCATGTGGTTAATATTCCAAGTAGCATACAAAAAAATAGAGCTAATTGATCAGAGAACAAAACAGAATGTAAGTACATAGTTTGCAACGTAGAAAACAAAAAAGAGAGGGTATTTATGAGACAATATCTCGTTCGTAATATGTAAATATTAATTGGTATAATTTTAGATATATACGATACAATATTCATAAGGATTTGTTGAGAAATAGAATTTTCTACCTCTCCTATATGTTTATTTCGAATAGCTAAAATAACCTAAAAGGAAGGAATTCAAGAGGAAAATTATAACCATTTTTGGTTCAAATGAACATTATTAATAATGAATGTTTTACTTGCCTTTAATATAAATCGTTAAAAGCCTAAACCGTTTCATAAAAGCCCTATTCCTTGTTTGTTATTCCAAAAAGGTTAAAGAGTTATATAATGCTACAAAGATTGGACTCTGATTAGGACTTGCTTTGAACGTACTATTTCATTAAAGAGGAGGATGCAGTCCTTGAATATACTGTCGAAAAGATGGTTTTTTTCCTTTAAATTGATCATTTGGCATAAACAAATGTGAAGTGTGTTTTTATTCATATTACTATGAATGTATAATGAATATATTATATGTTCCATACTATAAGCATACAAACAGTATATACAAAACATATGAAATTTTTATATAAACATATATAGATGTGTGTTTTGAAAATAATACAAACAGCCTATTATATATACAGTGTATTGCATAAGTATACGCAACTACACAGTATAGAGTCTCTATACAGTCTATACTATACAGTATATGTACAGTATATCTATATATAGTATATATTCCAATATATATATATATAGATAACAAAAATATGATTTTATTTAATTTTAATTTTTTTTTGTATTTAACGCTACATAATACATACAAAATTTATACTCTCCTCACTACGTTCGACGCGTCACCATACGCTCAGGGCGTTTCTTTTCATTTCTAGCCAACGCTTCGAGCGGCGCTAACGTTAAGGATGTCGTCGGAGAACGCCATAAAAAATTCTTCAAATTCTACGTTGAATTTTACAGAAGATTTGCTCAATCATTTTGTAATTGATCATTATAAGCAAACTGTTTTAACGATTAAAGAAACTCAGACAATTATTCTGTTGGCTTTATATGCTCCTATCCTTTTCGTCAGTTTAATCGGAAATGTGTTAGTTTTACTTGTTATTCTGCCAAATCGACACTTACGAAGTATTACAAACTGTTTTATTGTTAACTTAAGCTTTGCTGATTTATTGGGTAAGTTATATACTTATTTTTCTATTAAAATGGCAACTAAGAAAGAATAGAGTGTTCTTTCCAGCTGTCTATCCGTCAATCTATCTATTTATCTCTTCTTCTCCTTCTTTTCCTTCTTTCTACCTTTTTTAGACGTTTTATTTTTTGTAGTAGCGTATATATTGCTGTGTTTGCTGTATTATATGTATACTTTACCGACTAGTACTGTGGCTACTTCTATCTATTTCTAATCGTGAGAGTGTATATATATACATTTATATATATATATATATATATATATATATATATACTGTATATTTATTAATGTATATATCTGCCACTATAAATATCCCTCACCGTTTATAATTTACCCTAAACATATAGAAAAGAACAAGATTGACTAATTAGCTTTTTCTTTTGTTCCAATTATGATCATTATTATCAGTGTCACTTTCCATTCGGTAGATTCAAACTATTTTTTAAATCTATTTTAGTTCTTTTCCTTTTTTCTCTCAGATATTTTCATAGACGAAGAGTAAAATTAGCTCGCCAGTTTAGAAAGAAATGGAAACTTACTCTCTAGAGAAACGAAAAGATAAAAAAAAATTAAGATTTTCTTGTTTTTTCCTCTTTCCTTATCATAACGGGATCAGCGTCTATTATTTTTATATTATTCTAATAGAAAAATCGTTACTCTCCGGTTTTATGGTATTACTCATTCTTTGGGTCTCTTGCGTAGTAAAGGTGTGTGTGTGTGTGTTAAATGCATACTGTATATACCGCATATAGTATACCCAGTAGCTACGTCTGTCCTTACATATTACCCTTATATCTTGGATAATATAGCCTAGTTATTAAATTTTGTTCTATTTTTATAAATGCATATGTCTGTTTTTAGTAGAAAAAGATATAAGATAAAGGTTTTAGAAAATATTAAGCAAACTAAACTGTTAAAAAGAAAACAAAAGATAAGAAGGATAGGAAAATATTATGTCATTAAGGGTTAAGTAGATACTTAATGAATATAAATGTATTTTACTATGAAGCTATAAACTGGATATATATAAATTTATATACATATATATTGGTATGTCCCGTTTATAAATGTATTTTCTATTATCTCATTTATCTGGTATTAACAGCACATTCCATAGAAAATGTAAAGCAATTTACTGTCTATGTTTTTTTTTGCTTTAAGTCTACTTTTTGAACTGAGCTAAGAAAATGGAAATAGTATAGTTCTATTTATGAGCAGGATCGAAATATAATTATCTATCGAACAAATAGGCTATATAATGTACAGTATGATTATTGTATACTTTAATTATTTTTCAATTTGGTAGCGAATTACGCAATATACAGGTATATAATATAATGTATATTTCATATATAAATATTAGTATATAAATGTTTCTTTCCTCTCACTTTCTTTCTCTTTGAAAATATATTAGGGATATTCTAAATTGACATTAATCCAGTCCTTATTTACTTCGTCTTAGAGTTGAGAACTATAAACAAGATATGAGCAATATTTTACCAACAGCATTACTGACTTTCATTTAGAAACTACAAATAATTAGCAAAACTTCAGCATAGTCCTAGAGATGTAGCAACCATTAAATGAGTCATAATATCGTGAGCAGTTCTTTTTAAAAGGCGTGTTCAACTTCGAATAACCGGCAGTAAATGAAAATTAGTTGAACTACGCATATGTCTATCTATGTGCAACTATTTCCAGAGAAAAGTTATACAAGAACCATTCCTCCATCACTTTGACCTTTTTTTAAAAAAGTATTAATTTAAAAGGAAAAGAAAGCTGAGAAGTAGTAAATGACGGCACAAAACAAGAGAGGAAGAGACGAAAAGAGAAGACGGAAAAGAAATAGGAAAAGGGCCAATAGGGAATGAAAATGAGCAGTTTCACTCCTGTTATAACCGTCAAAGTAGCACATAATGCCTTAGTATAGCATATATTATTGCAACTAAAGCTGAAATATAAGCGATTAGTTTGCCATTTACAGTTTTGTTAGGAAATTATTTAGAGTGAATATATAAACTAATTTCTTCCAAGACTATATCCTTTAAGGAAATGGCTATAGAAGAAAGTTATACTAGCTGTAGAAGAAGAAGAAGAAGAAGAAGAAGAAGAAATTGCAATTGTAGAATTAGAAATACCGGTAGAGAGATATACTGTTAACACTGTCTACTGTATATCTTTGCTTAAGTCTTGATATTATTTCCCTATTCAAACCAAATGAATAAAAAGCGAGTTCGTATAGATTTTTAATTTTCTATCATGTTTATACAATAAACGACGTTTATTCTTTTTCTAGTTTCCTCCCCAAATAAACTGTATATTGATCCATAAAATAAATTGTATGAAACTTGAATTATTCTATCGGAAGTGAACAATTTACACCGTTTTTTAGTATAAACAGTCAAATAAATGTCTAGTTTAATTTTTTCTCACTAAATCCTACTAGCTAAGCATTTATTTAAATTATCAAAGGGGTAATTTTTAGAATAAAACCCTATGATTTCTAATAATAAACAAGAAAATTCGAGTAATTATGCTTAATTATGTAAATTAAATTGAGTTATTACTGTTTAATATTATTTTTTTTATATAAATCTTTTATCTACTTCCTCTATTGTCTATTCCTTTGAAATAAATTACATCGTTTATCTAGCGACTACGATAATTCCACTGTAAAAGGGAACAGTAAGTTATATTTGTAAAAACCTTTACTGACTTGTTTTAATGGAATATTAAATTCCAATGAAAAACAACCGTAACAATAAAGATTTTCCTTGCCTTTCTCTCTCTCTCTCAGGTTCTATATATATAGTATATATATATATATATAAATTTATAAATATATATATAAATTTATAAATATATATATACATGTATATATATATATGCATAGTTTATAAAGAATGAATAAATTAATTATTCAAATGATTTATTACGTAAAAAAAACACATAAAAATAGAATAAGGCTAAACACACTTGTTACGTCATTCTTCAATATAATTTTTGTTCTTCTTAATCTAAACAAACTATCTCTTTCTTCGATTGGCTAATACAGACGGAAATTAAATGCCCAACGTTCTAAACTGGAACGGAACATCACACTTAAATCCTTCTTAGATAATTTCGATTTTTTTCTCTTTCTCTCTTCTCTTAGAATACGAATGATAAGAAAGTTTTGTAAAATCTTATGAAATTTTCTATTGATTCTTTTTTATATAGACCATATTTCATTTATATTCGATTATGGTTTTTCTTTCTTTTACTCTTATCTAAGTAGCAATCTTTTGAAGGGTAAGGACAGTATGAAGAAAAAATAGGAGAGATAATTACAATCTAAAGAGAATTGAAAGGATATTGGAAGATAGACAGATTAAAAACCTTTAATTTTGTCTAAATAGAAAAAGAATATAGAATCCAAATATAAGAGAAATCTAGAGCATATAGAATAACAAATTACAATGAAAACAAGTAAGGGGTCCTATACTAGGCCGAATAAATAAAGGCATTTGGAAAGAACGACGCAATTTGATAGTTAGATTTTGGATGAAAGCACTCCGTATTCATGAGGCAATTGGCCAAAATTGATCGATTTCTTTCACTTAATCAACCACCTAATTCAAGGTAGACTAGCAATTTAAAGAAAACAACTTAGGATGAGATAACGTAAAAAATCCAATCAACTTAAACTTCGTGCTAGCGTAATTGTATATAAACTTAGAAGGAGAGAGAGGGAGAGGGGAAAGCTTAAAGTAAAATTACTCTCTATAGCCTTCAATACATCTTAATCCTTAATACTTTTATAATAGGACGGCTGTGAGTTTAGAAGAAAAAGTTATGTCTCGCTCTTTAGACAACAGTATTTTCAAGTTTAAGCGTAATTTAAATATGATCTTGCTCCACTGCTTGTATTAGACAATAGGCAATATGAATATACATATAAAATGTGATCTATAGCTCTATACTGTTTATGAGACGATAAATACAACTGCTTTTTCTTTCAGTGACTGTCATCTGTATACCAATGTCGGTCAGCATTAAAGTTTATCATTTATGGATTTATGGAGAGTTCATGTGTAAAATTACCTGGTATTTGCAAGGTATGTATTGCATAATTTATGAATATATATGTAAGGTTTTCTTGGAAAGTCTTTTCCTTATACTTACAAAGAATTATTAATAATCGTGTTTATCTAAGGAAAAGTGCGAGCAGGTCATGGGTTTCTCCGTACTTTAAAAATTTTCGCCCACTTAAAATATGAAAGAAACATATTTATATACTACTATATATATATATATATATGGTATAATTTATAATATAGATTATACAGTATATATATAAGTATGTTATATAATATCTTACTATAATTTACTTTCTTCTCCCTTCTTTAATCAGTAAAGAAGTAAATAATATACTGTAAATTTGCACGGTACTCGTATAAAATTATTTTCCCTGAATAAGGATATGTAGAACCTTAATAAGAGGCTTACGAGTTGGACTGGAGGACAGATAAAAAAGATGAAGGGCGTTTCCACTCATTAGCAAATATTTCTACTCCTCTAAGCATTCGATTCCGATTGAATTGTTAACAGTCTTTTTATTTATTTCTGGAACATAGACAAAGTCTTAAAACACGAAAATACATCAATGCTGTATATATTATAGATATGTTGATCCGCTGCAAATGTACGCGCTATTCAGACGTTCCCTGTTAAGGTCAGTTTGCCAAATAGATACAATTAGGTACAGTTACATACTCTTGATTGCAAGTAAATAGGATTATACGTTAGAAACGACAATTCTTTGTTGGACATCTTCAAGGATTTTCTTAGAAGAGAATGTGCGAATTTTTCCTTTCTCTGATAAGAAAGTAAACTTTGTTTTAACTAGGAATTAGGCATATCAGCATATTCTAGGTGAATATGCATAGCGATAAATAGTATCAGGGAAAAGTAATCCGAACACTCCTGCTTCGCTGACTTCTAACGTAATTTCACATGAGATTTAAGTATTCAGCTTGTTTTGTATTCCTCTATAAGATGAAAGGAAATAATGATGATGTTTCTATTGGCGAAAGATAGTCCACTCACCTTTAACAATCTGATTCAGCGTATTTCTTCTAGGCAAGCTCTAAAATTCCAACTGCTCTTCCCTTGTATAATTTTAAAATAGAAATACTCTGGAGCATATAAAGCTTTTTTAGCCTGTCAAAATAAGAATGTTTAATGAAAACTGGAATTAGTGTATTATTTGTATGAGCATGGACTACTCTAAATAGAATTTTACACTGTATTAGGGTTTTCCCAACAAAGTTATAAATTTACTAAGGATAATATGTTTTTATCAGAGATTTGTCTATTTTCTTTAGCCAATATCCACACATTATACATGGAATAAGGAGACATATTGCATATATGTTGCACAGCTAATGATATATATTTTTGTCATATTCGCTACAGGCATAATTCTATCTCGAAAACAAAAATTTAACATTAGTTTTCGAATGAAAAAAGACAGTTCTACATCTTTATTATTAAGCAGATAGACGTAGCTTTGTTGTAAAAATTTAATTAGCATCTCTGTCTGACCAGGAAAAAGCTTATTATAGGCTTTTTTGTGAAAATACAAAGGTACTTAAAGGTATTTTTAACCCAAGTCATTACTTTTTACTAATATGAAAATAATATAATTAAAATCAGCTATTGATTCAATTTGAATGTTATCTTTCCTTAGAGATAAATAGATAAATCTTTTTTGAATCTGTCTAACCTTTTATCTTTTCTATTTGTCTTTCTCTACCTTCCCCCCCTCTCCCTCTCTCTCTCTCTCTTTCTCTATAACTTTTAGTCCTTCATCATAAGCAGTTTATACCCGTAAATTAATCAGTGTAATTAAAACTTACTAATTAAAATGTGACTTGGGGTTATAACCTTTATGAAAAGAGACGAGGCCTTTTTATATTTTATCTTTCACGAGTGTGCAATATTCATCTAGTAATGTTTCTTGCTTATTATTATTACTATTAGTATTATTATTAGTGAGGAAGTAGATAAAGCACGTAATAATGGGACATAATCAATAATAGTTAGAAAAAGATTTGAAACACCTAGATATTGTTTATTAAATAAAACATATAACAATCATATAAATCTAATATTCAATTATGCAGATATAAGAAATCTACAAAATCAAAATAAGGATTTTCTTAATTTCTAGTTAAAATGTAAAGAGGACAAAAAATAGTGCCATGCTTTAAAGAGTCTCATTATTTTCAATTGCTTTCAATATAGGATAAGAGCCTTCTATATTGAGATTTGTTGGAAAGGCTTTTACGAACTTTACTATTAATTAATTAATTACTAATATACTTATTTTTGTTGTAATCTTATACAAGAAAGATAGGTATGTTTATTTTGATAAGAGTTATAACCCGCATAATTCAAGGTCTATCAGCTTGCCTAGAATGAGTCTTATTGTTACATTTTAAGTGGAAAAAATTGTCTCTATTAATATTAAACGAAGATTGGTTCCTTTCTTCAAATGCAGCGTTTACAGTTCTCCCAGGCGCTTCCTCCACAATCTCACATTTGCCCCCCCGCCCACCTCCCAGTTGATACTTTTTAATACCGAGTTTTATTAGCCTCCCTGTTCGAGAAGAGCTTATTTTTCTCATTTGCTTTTTAATATTTCATATAGCCTAATTATACGTAGAGATTATACAAAGTATATTTAGTGCATGTAAACATATTTCGTGTATATATTGTATACATATTATACTATCCATATTGTATCATTCTTCTTATTTTTCATTTATTGAAATACTTATTGTTCTGTGCTTTAACATCTTGCATAGAGATTTTTTTGTCAGTTTCAAAAGTGAAAACCAAAAAAAAAGCCTTTTAAGGTAGAAATTTTCTAAATTTAATGGTGTAACCATAAAAAGAGGTAACCGAATGGCTTCGTGTATCACCAGAAACACCTTTTTCTATTAACAAACCAGATTTATTTGTGGCTTAAACGAGCTTAATGAAAATAGTCACACTCTGTATTTTTCTTTTTTTATATCTACCTTTATTAAGAACATAAATAAAAAGTTCCAGCGTGAAAGACTACATCATCTTATAACTATTAATTATTAATTGTACAGTACTACCCTATTCCATATAATCTTTAATATACTAGATATAAGTCTTATGTGGTTAATTATTCAATTTAATATTTCTCTTATCTCAATTATCAACAGGTGTTTCGTGCTCAGCATCTGTTTTAACTATCATGACGTTGGCCTTTGACAGACATCTTGCTATCAAGCATCCAATTAAATTTCGAAAGTTTAGCACTGGAAATTATGCTTGGAAATTCATATCAGCAATTTGGTTAACGTCATTAGCAATTATGCTACCTTTGTGCATTGTGCGAGAGATCAGATTCGTTTATCCATTCACAGGTGTAGTCTCCCAGGAGTTGCCTTATTGTATGGAGACATGGTCCAGCGATGACGTTCGGATAGCATATGGATTTCTACTTTGTGTATTTCTTTTTGTTCTACCCACATTAGTATTAGTCTATAGCTATTCAGTTATTGGTAAACAGTTGTGGAGGGAAAATGCTGGCATTCCAGGAGAAATCCAGCAAAGAAAGATAAATCAGTCTCAATTACATAAAGTTATGTTAAATAGACGAAAAGTTGCGAGAATGTTGGTGATTTTAGCGTTGCTGTTTGCCATTTGTTGGATACCTTATTACATTAATTCCATATATTTGGATTTTGTACCACCCACTGATAATTCTGCAAGGAAAGCTTCTGGAGCTTTATCATTTACTACTTATTTGGGGCATTTCAATTCAGCTATTAATCCGATATTATACTGCTTTATGAATGCAACATTTAGAAGAAGCGCGCGAAAGCTCTTTTGTAGATCTTGCTACAAAAAGAAGATGAATAAGACTAACGAAGGAAATGTATGTATTTAAGTTTACTTTTGTGTTTTGTCTTTTTTTCCTTTTTTCCTCCTTTTTTGCTTTAATTTCTCTTTGCACGAGAGAGGGTAGACGAAAAGAGAAATACACTAGAGAAAGCGAGGAGGACAGAGAGAGAGAGAGAGAGAGAGAGAGAGATAGAGAGAGAGAAAGAATGTGATAAGAAGGGGAAAAAGAAATTAAGAATAGGATGGGTAAATCGCGAAGATTTGAAGTAAATTGAGTAGGAGAGATGCATCAGCCAATTGATTATCTGATATCAATATACTCAAAAGATATATTAATTAACGTAGGAGGATTAATTTTATATGTCATACAAGAGATAGTACTATATATATATATATATATATATATATATATTGTATAAGTTTCTGATAGAAAGCTATAAGATTTTGTACTGAGTACTAAAGAGTGAAAATTGATAATTTTCTGCCTCCATAACTAATGCATATTACAACGCTAATTTTCACTTCTAGTACAAAATTATATAAAATCTTTCAAAAGAAACGTAATAACTGATTACTCTAAAAATTTGATATCGTCGTTGAATTATTCAAAATAGGAAAGAGATTAGTCATTCTGTTGCGCAACAGATTTATATTAAAGGCAAGGGTTTTCATCTGCATTACTGTACCGATAGTAAATATGCAAATTAAGGCTGTGCTATAAACAAATGAACACTTTCTATGTTTATTACTTCATTATAATAAGAAACATGTCCTAATTCATTCTATATAAAACATTAGTTTACAAAAATTATAGTAAGATGGAAAATTGCTTCTATAGGACTTCGGATAAACTTCATATTCTATATTAGATATAAACCTTATATAGTATAGTATCAGTTTCATGAAAACAATTATGCTAAAAGAAAAAAAATTCAATAAACCTTAATTTATTTGCCATTTTCCTCTTCTTCTATGTTTATCTTTTATGTTATTTTTAGTTCATTTCTCCTTCTTTCTCGCTATAAATATCAATTGTAAAATTTATTTAAGGCTATCCTTCCACTGCTCTATCTTTCATATATATATATATATATATATATACTGTGTAATCTATAGATAACAGCTTCAAGCATTACAATAACAACAATGTAGTTTACAATTCTTACCTGACAAGTTTTTAATTTTTACCTTTTACTTTTTTCAACACAAATTGAGTGATGAATAATTAGTTGAAAGATCTATTTCTCAACGTGCTTAAATATGAAAATATAAACATTGCAATTTGATACTACAGTTATTATTCATTTTATTAATAAATATATATTGGAAACTAAACAAGTACATGCTTTAATTTTTACTTGTCTGTTTTCTATTATAGTTTTTACTTTATAAAATAGACAATACTATAGAACTACATTTTTCCATCTATTACATACAACTTTTAGCTTTGCATATCAAAGTAGAAGATGCAAAAGAAAGAAAAGAAAAGAAATGATGCTTTAATTAACCCAACTTGCAAAATGATATCACAAGTAATAATTATTAATTAATATAAATTAATAAATTAATTATCCATTGCTAACTGTTGCGTAGAATACAAAGATGCACATTTTCCCCAGCCGTTTTATTTTTGGATTTAATATTGTCACATAAGTTTACATAGGAGTGCAATTCTATTCTAAAGATGTCATTTAAACTTTCTTCTAAGTATAATTTCACTCTTCAAAAATTAATGCAATGTATTCTCTATATACAGTATATACTGTAAAGAAATTTTGGTGATTGGTTCTGTCATTATTTACAATATGCATAGAAATTTTCCATTCTCTTTCGTGAGAATTTTTCATGAATTATAATCGTTTATTCGATATTACAATGGTAATCGCAGACTATTTGGAAAGGTTCCTACTTGTGAAAAATGGTAGGCGACGTAGGGTTAAACATGTACGACTTTTCAATGACGATGAAAGTTGCTAACATTTTTTTGTGACATTAAAAAAATGATGTAAGCAAATCAACACATGCGTAAATGGTCCTAAGCAGTGATGCCTGACTAGCTGTTACCAAGAGATTCAAAGAGAGCTTAAACTAATTTCAAAGGGGAATCCTCCGTATTATCCACATCTAATCGGTTGAATAAGGGACAAAGGACAAAGAACTGTAATTTAGGGATTTAAAAATTTAAATACTTATAAAAGCTGTCAATTTGCTGTACATTATTGTATAAAAATACTTCATCGATGGGTAATCTGCAAGTCCTAGATTTAGTCTCATGTTGTCCCTGTTTATATTTTGACGCCGAAGGACGGGGTAGGGGGGGGGGGTGAGTGCATTTTCTGCTTTACATATATACAGTATATAAATTAATATATACAATTCAAACACTAGACATAACTAGATGGACTCTTCCGTCTTTTTATTATATATGATGTTATACTTATAATGGCAATTCATTTTATTTCGCTTACAGGTGGACATGATGGTTATTTATTCACAGCTGAGATCGAATAAAACTCGCACATGTCCCATTAACAATAAGCGACACCTTCTACCTCCTCCTCCTTTAGACTCCAGAAGGAAATTTTCTTCTCCTAGATCGACTGGAACACGGACTACGTCTTCCGAAACGAGTTGTCCAACTCGCTCGTCTAATGTAAGCCAAAGGTCATCAGAAACTAGATCCACATTTAAAAGATCACCTGAAATCGAACTAGAGGGGGCCACTTGCCAAGCTGAGAAATCAACAAATAGCGTTTTGGAAATTCTCGAACAATATTTTGGAGATAATATCGATAGAAAACGAAGAGAAATGTTCAACTGCACTCTTAGTATACCTACAACGATTAACGAGGAAACATCTCGAAGTAATATTAGCCAATCCCCAATTGCTGATAGACAAACTATGGCACAGATTGCGGAAGATGACGCTAATCAAGATATAGTTGCTGGGAAAGACTTTTATTTAGAGTCCGATTCTTCCTATAGATTATCCAGATTCTTCCAGAGCACAAGAGACATAGAAGTGTTGAAGGGCGACTTTGAAGCTAATTTTCGAGATTAATATATAACAAAGGGCGCATACTGTTTACAAAGTATATTTTTAAATATACAGCGCAAATGTTATATTCAATCCCTTTCTCCTTGAATTTATCACAATCAATTTAATTCTCTAAGAAAGAAATTCTGCAGCTCGACTTGTAATTAATAATTTGAAAAGCACAATGGAAATTATATGTATATAAATGCACTATATATACAACAGTTTATATTAAAACTTGAACATATTATTTGTTCAGCTTTACATTACAGAGTGTTCAAGATAATTTAAATATAAAATATATGTCTATGTATACGTTGAAATGTTTGTAAATAAATAATACGTACAGTATTTATTGAAATTATCAACTTTTAATAAAATAAAAACATACTGGTAATTGATGCTTATTCGTTAAGTTTCAACTTCCCTACCCTCTCCCTCTTTCTTCATCTCTCTCTCTCTCTCTCTCTCTCTCTCTCTTTTCAATATTTTAACTTTCTTTGCGATACCAATAATGTCAACCTGCCGATCCTCTCCTCTCCCTCTATACTTCAGACTAATTATTCTTAAATCAATACATTTCTATGTATTGATGTTGATATCTTTCATGTGAAAAAGGAACAGTACCAGCATAGATGAAAAAACTAATCTAATAACTAATTCTATCTAGCACTATTGATGAAAAATGCGACCTTAAAGTGACAGTAGCTGTGGCAAACAAAATTGAATAATTAATAAAATAAGATAGTAATCTTCAAGTGTAATTCTTAGTCATAAAAAGTATTAACCTTTTTGATTAGCGTATAAATTAACCATTTTTTTTAAATATCTAATAGAAAACATGAGAGTGTAAATATTTTATGAATTAATATTACTATTCTCAAAAGTAATGAGAAAAAAGAGGACAGACTGGAAGAAAAAGAAAGAATTGCTTTAGATTAAACAGTATAATTCTACATTGCAATCAATGATAAGAAGAAGAAAAAGAATGACACGACTCTTTCTTTGTAATCAGTTAGAGTATTTTTCTATTCATTCTCTTTTATACAGTAATTTTTCACTACAATTTCTTAAGTTTTGCCTATACCGTTTCGTTGATTCTAATGTTATAATTATATAACTTTAATGGCCTTATTTGATATCTTAAAAGTGAAGAAAGAAAAGACATCTGGTCCTGGCTTACCAGTCACTTGTTTGTCTTCAGCACACTAAACAATTCTTAACTGATGACCTGCAGAATACAATTGTTTATTTATTTTTCCATTCTTCATCTCTAAAATAATGAATGATATAACACTCCATTTTCATTAGAGGAGTTTGTCAAAATATAGATTGCGTTTGCCCAAATGTCAAATATATACTGCTTATTGGTTTTTAACACGTTTTCTTTTTCAGTCTTACTTGTCTTGTTTTTTATCTATAATAACGGCATGAATCTCATTTGCATATACTGTAGTATACTGTCGTCCACTTTATATTTAACATTCCGTTCTCACATTTCATTCAATCGAAACGATAAAAAAATTACATTTTAGCTTTACTTTTTCCTTTCCTTTTTATCCTCATTTTTTTCCTTTTAGCCTTCTTGCATAAGCATGAATTATAAAATATATTCTCATCACATTTAAGCGCGGGAAGAAAAGGTTTCTACCGTTACTTATATTATTTATTATTTAGTTATTTTTTGAGAAAAAGATATTGACCTATTTACGGTATTTATATCGAAATATAATTCATTAATATTACCTTCATTTTAATGTCAATATATTTCCCAAAAAAAGAAATATGTTAGTTTTCCATAATCATATAGATGGCGTTATCATACAAAGAGAAAACTTGGCGATTATATCATAAAAATAGAATGATTTAATGTAATTATCACAGTAGTTATTGAATAATATTTATTTCTATACAAAAACAATTCAACATCTAATCTACGATTGATTGGAAAGAGAAAAGAGAAGCATTTCAACTATTTATTTCTGTATTAACTTTATGTATAAGCCTATAGTTTCAAAATGAAGATAGAGAGAATTTTTACAGACCAACCTATACATTAGTTTTAGTGATATCATCTCAGATACTGTAAAAGTTTAATTATATCAAAATTACTTGTTTGTATTATTAAATTGTTTATAATTAATATCATTTATCTCATTTTCTTCCGGTTTTCTATGTAAAATAAGTTGAAAATACGTTTTTTGCCTTAGAATAATGAAGAATACATTAATTAAAAGTTACAGCTTCATTTCCTCTAGTTATTTGTTGAAAAGAGGAAAAAAATTCATGTGACTAAGAGAATGTTAAATTGATTTCATGTTAGATTAATGGTAGTTGTTAATTAAAGTTGACATTTTCGATGGCATCTTATATTGGGAATGGTTTTGCTGTAAAACAGTAGGAAAAGAGAGAACGAGACAGAGACATTGAGAGAGATGAGAGACGTCGTTGTGTTTGGTTAGTAGAGCCAGAGGAGAAAAAAGAAGAAGGGCAAAATAGAGACGCAATGTGTTCTACTTTTAGCAATATAACAAAGATCTATACCATACGTGAATCTGTATAAGACATACTGTATATTCTTGTTTAAATAATTTATCCTTTAACATTTGTACGTAAAACGTTGTTTGTAGTATAATAGATGTTTAGTTGTCTAATATATTCCGTTTACTGTACCTGGGGTATTTGGAGCATCTTTTAGGTTTTGCAGTATAATTTCCAACCAACTCTATCTTTATGAAATTTAACAAAAAGAAACTAGGTTAGGCGTCTATTCTAAATAAAATAAAACATGTAAATATATAGTTCTATTCGTGTTTATATAAGTAATGAGAATCACTAGGTCGACTGTATAGGTATATTATACATAAATAATTTAAAGAATATTTTAGACTAAACACTATATTCATAAAATGTAAAGTACAACAACGGTAAGATTCTGTAACACTCTTTGCATATAGTATTAAATTGGCATAGGCTGACAAACTGTTTACCTCTTGAAATTTTGATAATGAATATATGGAAATGTAGGTACATTACTGAAATGAATATTTAATATAATATGACTTTGCGCTACTTATAGCAAAATGCAAGTAAACGTCAACCAAAACGTTTCAATAAGGTTTAGGATTCTTCTCTTGGATACCTTAGAAGAATACAATAAATGGCTACTTTTAATTGTTTATCCAATAGTCTTGATCATCGGAATACTTGGAAACGTTTTTCTTATTATTCATTTTTGCAAAGATAAAAGATGGAAAAGAATTTCCAGTTGTCTAATTATCTTCCTAAGTATTTCTCAGATAATGTTATGTTCAGCTGTTTTTGCCATTCCAGTTGCATCTTCTTTACTTGAAATAACGGTAATTCGTAACAGTACAATATTAACAGTTGAACAATTACAATATCCTTTGTTCTTAATATTCTGCTATGGCTGTATAAAAGGTTTGATTGGGGTTATCTCCTCTCTACTAGCTGTTATAGCTTTCGATAGATTTTTAAGCGTCTATATACCATTCAAGTATGAACGGAAAGAGATCAAAACCCTTACCATTTTGCTTATTCTAATATTCTTAACTTTATCTGTATTGGCTGGTGATACATCATACACTAACGCCTGTAACGATTGCCAGGCTTTGGTCTTATTATTCGCTATTATGCTAATAAGCCTATTATCGCAAATAATCTTTTATCTTTTGATTAGTGTAAGATTGATAAAGCAAAGGAGAACTATCAACGAAATGGTTATTGCATTAAGAGAACATTCCCAGAAAGGTAACTGGCACTTTAGCATAATATAATAAAGAAACAATATAATTAATCTACTTTTAACCTACTTTTTTTTATTATCTATTTTCATCTTTTATCTTTTTTCCACGCTATTTAGCGAGATCTCTCGGCGCATCTGTAAGAAATATAAGGATAATTAAGAGCCTTTTGATGATATCGTTACTCTCTATCATCAGCTTCATACCATTAAATTTAGTAATATTTGCAGTCAATGAAGAAGGAATTTTCTCTTTCTTTATTCTTGGACTAATAACCGCTTTTGGAATTCCTATCATATTTTTCATCTTTAATCCTAAATTTAAGGGATTTATTATCTATTTAGTTAATTTAATAAAATTCAAGAGAAATTGAACATAGCCATTGTTTTTTATACGCAAACTGTGACATTCAAGTGCAATATATCGTATTTGTTTGAAGTTATACCTGTTATATAGCAGATATTGTTAAAAAATAAGCGATCATTAATTATTTAAAAATAGCTGATTATAAAGAATGCTCTATATAATTTTTTATTCCTTAAACATCGATTTACAGCCCTATACAGCAATTAACCTTTGACTGAAGGTGGAAGAGGAAATTGTACTCATCATTCAAATATAAACGAAATGATATTATAATAGACAGTATATGTATAGATTTAATCTATGTTTTAGGTAAAAAGCATAAAGATTGAGCAATATGCTTTCTTCCCTTCTCTTCCTTACTTTGATAAACTTTTTCGCAGAGGCTTTCCAATGTTTCCTTCTCTATTATTCTATTTTTGATCACAACTTATTTTAATTACTTGAAATCTATTTTTGCAATTCATGAATCTACGTATATCGATGATATTTTCTACTTTCCTTTATAGACAGCTCTTTTATTTAATAATTTTGGTAATTAAAAGAATATGAACCTAATTAAAAATGATTAGATTTTAATGAATCAGAAAATTTGTCGGTTATAATTTGTTAAGTAGATTGTATATATTCATATCTCATACTATTTAAAGAGAAAGGAATAAGGGGGATAATGGTGAGTCGATATCGTAGTTTATGAAATTATGTAACTTTAGAATAGACTTTTATTAATTTACAAAAATAATAATAATAACCGATACGATTAGTTGACTTCCTCTAGGTGATTATATAAGTGACATTTGATAGTAGTCATTACTTTTTTCTCCTAGACTTTGAGAAGGGAGACAGTTTCGTATTCAACAAAGTAAAATGAGCTATCTCTTTTTAGAAAATGCAATTTCATCAGTTTACATTACATGCAATGCTGTTTTTTATGTTAAATTTATATAAATGTATATATATGCTTAAATGAAATGGTCTAAACAAAAACTACAGTAAGATGATGAGAATTAAAGATAAAATATATACATAAAAGAACACTAGTAGGCAGATTTTTATTGAAGCTAACTGACCTTGAACATATTATTAATATAGCTAAATTTTTCATATTGAGTAGAGTATATGATTAAGGGGAATAAGGGAATGAAAAAAAAACTGTGATAGGTATAATCCTAATTATTTCCCATAATTTAACTCAAACTTAAAAGCTTTTTTAATCTAGATATAAAGTAATAATTTGTTGTAGTTTATTTAGCCTTGCTCATTTATTCTTATTTATAGTATTCATTACCGCCATGTATTCTTATATTAAACGCCCACCATTTTAATCTACCTCTCTTATTATCATATTCCTAGGTTTTTTATCCTCTTCTTACTCATGTTTTTTATTATTTTAGCAACAAGAATATATAAATGAACACGATTTTTTTAATTGTTATTGTTATTATGCCAATAGGGATAAATAATCTTTATTCAATGTTTTGTTATGTAATGCAACTACTGGAAAAAAAAACGAAATAATAGACTGTCTATATCAGCTTACCAACTTCCAAGATCTTGCTTGTACATTAAGTGCCCGATACATTGTAAACTATATACAGTATATATATATATATATATATATATATATATATATAGGCTCAATCAAAAATGAAAGGGAGACTGGACGATAATTAAAATATGATGATGTCGTCGAATATGAAAATTTTATAGTTAGTCTTCAACATAATTATTCCTCTTCTCAATACATTATTTTTCATCTTTTCACTAAGACTCTGATGCTCAATAAACCATTGTAAATCGTTTCTTCTCCTACGCAATCAATTTTCCGCAACATTTAGTTTACTGAATCAAAAATCTTGTTCCTGCCAGAGTTCTTTACAGACACTTTGACTAACAAACAAATGTTATGGGTTATAGCAGGGGGCCACTGCCTAGTTAAGTCTCAGCTCTCCCTGTCCCAGATTTTTTAGACTACTACATTCTAGTATCTTTCAACATTGTATAGTATACCCCATATTTGTAAAACGCGGAACACTAAAGTTTCGTTTTAAGTATATCTTTCTCTTAATAATAACTTGGTTCAGTTCATCATTAAGCTAGTAAAAGGATTTTTTTGCATTCTTCTTCTTTTTAAGATTTCCCTGCTTGACTGACATAGCGAGAGGCAGAAAGACACAGGCAGACAGACACAAAGACGATGAGGCGGACCGATAGACAGATAGAAAAGCTATCCCTTCTATATAGGTATAGCGAAACTTTACAGTACCTTCTCTTTTCATCTTTAAGTCACTTTTTAGATAGGCGTAAAGTATTGTATAGATCTGACGTACAATATAACTTTTGATTGAAATCAAAACAATAACAGTTTCATAATCCATTTTAATCATTCATACATATACTGTATATTGGCATATATAAATTTATACATATATATATATATATATGTATAATATTGATACAATATTTTCAGGGTTACTGATTGATATTTCTCCTTTCATGTTAGTTCGAGAGATATTTGAACAAAATATTTATTATAGTTCTGTACTTTGAAGAATAATGCTTCCTTCATCTTTGGCTCTGCTGTATAGTAGAATTTTGGTGAAAATGTTTGTGTTTAGCTTTTATTTTCTCGAATTAAAAAGGCTTAAAAGTTGAATATTGCAAAATTGAATATTCAAAATTGAATAAGAAAGACAAACAGCACAACAAATTCTTTTTTTTTTTAAAACATAAAAACAGAAATTTCATACGAAAAGGAATATGATGAGCACATTATACAAAACGTGTTCAATAGATATATATATATATACTAATACATTAGTATATATATATAAAAAGCTATGTATATGCTGTTGTGTTTTAACCAGTTTTACCTTTATGAAAAATACAACAACATATATACTTTTTAAGTAATTGAATGAGAAAGTGTCTAAAATCAGCATTAAATATGCAAAATATTACGGGATTCCAAGCAGTATTGAAGTATAGTAATATATGTACAAAAAGATCATAACGTTTTGTATGATTATTACTTAACAAAAATATAATATCCAAAACTATTGTTATAAGAGATACCAAGGATATTGTTGCCATGCTCTTCGTTATTGTTACAATTCTAGCGGGAATTTTTGTTGAACTACCTACAATAAGGAGAATTGAACGAAACAGATATATTTTTATATTATATGAATATATTATATATGTATAAATTCAATTACCTGAGTGAATCACTTGTCTAAATCCATGTTCATACTCAAGTAACTCTATCTTTTTAGATATATTATTTTTAAATTGAACAGCGTATAGTTTTCTTCTCTTCATAATCCGATAGCTTATCAGCGAATATGATGTTATCTGACAGATTATACTCAATAGGTAGATTATCCAAAAGCAGAAAAAATTTGAAAAGCATATATCTAGACAAACTACTCTTCCAACATAGCTAGCGGCCATTGATATAACAAACATAACTACTAAAGCAATATAAGGTGTTCTTGTAAAGGATTTGTTATTTTTTTTCAAAGGTAGATAGACGCTTATTAGATGGTCAAAAGCAATCAAACCGAGCAAAGATGCTGTATATGAGACACTAAATATTTTGAAACATCGAAATATTGTCAAAAATTCGGGAGCTTTCATTATAATTAACTTTTCTGTTTTCGTCTGAAAGACAATTTGAACAGTTGCCTGTTCCGCCATTGGAAGGTATAAAATCAGAAATATTGAAGTAAGAATGTTCATAAGGGAATAAAGAGACAAGTGAATATTTGATATTTTCATACTCTTCTTTCTCATGCTTAGATGATTAATCAGTAAAAGACTATTCCCTATAAGGCCAATTATGCCCAAACTTGGAGAGAGAATAAATATATCCCTAGCCTCTTTACTACTGAATAATTCCATATAGGAAACTTTAATGGGTATTTCATCGGGAAAATGCGACATATTTTTATTGTGTTTCAATATATAAGAAGTAAAATTCATATCTTCCATACTGTCCTTTTCTTTTATTATCAATCTCTCTCTCTCTCTCTGTTCAACAGTTGACCTTGAAGTTTTTCACAAACGAAAGAAACAAATTAATTCATTAAAACGTATAGAAAAATCATTTTACTTTAACATTACAGTAATAAAATTATTAAATTATATTTGCTCAACTTACTTGATGTTATTACTTTCAAGATCTTTAAATTATTTCAATAACAATCTTTCAGTAATGTTTCCTAGCAACTTTACTGTAACAAATATTTAACTGAAACTACAACAGGCAATGACATCATAAAGTATTATATCATGCTTTTTTATTACTATTCTCCTATCATTCTCCACTTTCAACTCGACGCTCCATCTAGAGTGCGAAAGAAAAAGAGACAGTTCAATGACACCTGTTTTAGGATGCGTGCTTTTTTTATTTATTTACATTATTATCCCATCTTTTTCTGATTAAAACAACACGAATTTAACAATAATGAAGATGATAAGAAAGTGTAATTTATATATATATATATATATATTGTATACGGCATATATATACTGTATTAATAATATTAATAGCAAACTGGAAGGTACACTATTATCCTTTACAAGAACACCTTATATTGCTTTAGTAGTTATGTTAAAACCTTACTATATTGTGCACTGTATACATTTTTTTCGAAATCTTATAATTAAATTAGCTAAAGGGGCATATAAACTAAGAAAGAAAAGGAGAAGAAAGACTGATACATTGATGATATATAGATAGACAAATAGACAGATAGATAGATGGATGGATAGAAAGCAGAGAAGGAAAGGGATTTTTTTTCGTTAATAATTAAGCTAATTTGTTAATTTATTGAAAAAAATTCATTTGTGTTCTGCTTTAAAAAACATTTATTTTTGCGATAAGACAACATAGAATATAAATGTGTGCACAATTTTTAATAGTCCGTCCGTTATACAGCAAAACTTTACAGTCACAAATATAAGTTTCATTTTGATTCAAGGTTTAGTTAAATAGACACTTGGACAGAGAGAGAGAGAGAAAAAATCATTCGCTGCTTTGTATCATTTTTTTTGGATTCTCATAAAATTAAAGTTGATGCGCTCGGTACTTCTGGATAATAGATAAATGGTTGTTATAGGCAAATTATATCCATTACACACAATATATAATAATCAAGATTTCTATTCTTAAACGAATCACCCACAGTTGTATACGTGACATTTAATATCTACTGTATTTTATTGTATACTTCAAAATCTGAAATAATTTCCCCTTATTCCGAGGTTCTTTTAAAAGGAGTGTTTATGAATTGTCTAAATTTTCTATTCATGACAAGGAAGAGAATTGGGCTCCAAATAGAATTCATATATACCGATGAATAGATTAGTAATGAAGTTGATTCAATGACTTTAAAATTAGCTAACCATGTTGGTATAGTTATCACAAATGTTATTATTGAAGTTGATAAAATGAATATTGTCATATAAAGATTATCAGACTGAATTTCTGCAATAAAAGATATAGATATTGTAAATATTGTATACATACATTGGAATTAAGATCATCACTATCTTGTTTGAATATTTGAATATGCTAACCTTTGTCGTCTTCCTCCATATCTTTACCAGTTTCAATTGAATCAGCTTTTGATATTGGTTGAACATTGATTACTTTATTCGTGTTACTTTGTAGTTTCAATAGTGTTATAACATTCATAATTAGTTGTAGAATTTCTCCGCTAAAGAATAAAAGTAATAGAGCAATTGCTTTATAGCACATTCTTGTAGGACAAGAACTTCTTATTCTTAAACCGATCATCAAGCATAATAAGAATATTATTAACACCAGAATGTAATTAATTATCTTAAACTTTAAATCCCTTTTATTTAAACATATCAATAACTGATCAAACGACATTACCGCCAATAGCATGGATGTAATTGTTAAGACAAATAAGCTAGTTCCGAAATACGTTGCCAAATTATCTGTTAATTCAATACTAGTTGCAAAAGAAGGTAGAGCAATCTTTACATTAACTTTAATCGTTTTCATTACAGCCGTAAACCAAATAAGTAAAATTCCGCAAATAATATTTATCGCATTGAATATGATAAGAAATACTTTTGTGGGATTTCGATAAGTTTTCTTCCAGTTCACCAAAAGGAAAATTAGCATTAGAATATTTCCCAAAATTGATATTATTCCAGTAATAGGATTGACAACTGTCAGGGCTATTTCCTCATTTTTCTTAAATACCTTGAATAAATCCGTAGGTACAATCAAATATTTTAATCTCAATAACTGTGTTAAGTTACCATTCATTTCGGTTGAAACTAAATGAGAAACAATTAGAAAAACCAAGAATTTATCTAGGCTATAAAGAATGAAATTCGTTTAAATAGTTGCAGAGAGGCTAACAATGTCTCTCAAACCCAACAAGTTTATAAATGATTATTTCCTTAATGAACATTCCTTTTATAATAGCCCTTAAACTATTTTTGACACGTATTCTGGATATACTTCATTACTCATTACATCTTCATATTACATAAACATGCAAATCTAATAGTAATAATAAATTCATTCCTTATCCTCGAAGGCGTACAAGTTGTAAATTTTAGCTGGCGTATGTAATATTATTAATATGAATATATTACATGTATACAGTATATATTGTATATATATATACAGTATGTACATGTAATTTTGCATTAAACTTCTTTTTAATAAGAAAATCTTTGTGTTCTTTTTTACATTATTCTAATTTTCTTTATCTCTCCCTGTTCTCCTTTCCAGCATCTTTTCTATATTAGTTTTAACTATTCATTTGTTGTGTTACTTATCTTTAGATTCAATTCATTTCAAGCTTAATGTATTTACTGGAATAAATGGAATAACCTACTTTTTTAAATATATTTACTTGATTAAGTTTTAATAAAATTTAAGCTCTAGATGGCACTGTTGTCATTATTTATTATGTCAGAATGTATTTTTTCTATCCATCCATCTATCAAACTCTCTATCTATTGAACTATCTGTTCCTCTATTTGTTAGTTTAACTAGTACCATTCTACACGAGGCATACAGAGTTTCTCTAGCGTAGAAAAGGCAGAAGAGTGCACAAGAAGTTGCAATAATCTATAAACAGCATATGTAGTAATATATTCAATTGATACATTACTATTATATAGAAAAAGAAATCTTACAATAGCAATGTTAATTATATACATTAAAATAATATTAATATGTTTTATATAAGAAAGAGAGTTTCGCTTTTGTTTTTATTAGCATTCAGTGTTTCGTTTATAATAATATTTTGATCTTACGAAGACAATCCTGTTTTTTCTTTTCTTTGTAATTTCTCTTTTTGTTTTTTTTCATTTATAGAATATATATCTTTAGGCTTAGGATAATCAATCTTTATATCTTGCTGATTGAATATACATAAAAAAATCTCCTATACAAATCAAGAAAATATGGATTAGGTTTGATTAAGAAGTATCATTAATTAATTTACAGATTGTTGAAAACAAATATTAATCATAAGCTACTTTTCCAAGTAGCAATGGGCATTTGTTAAACTTCTACCAAAATGAATATGTTACATGGAAGATGCGAGAAAAAACTATCCTGGTTTCATCATAATCTTTTCTTTTGTATTTGTATAGATATAATATAGGCTAGAATAGTACAACATTCCACAATAAACATCAATAAAAATACAAGAGTTTTTTATGTTTTCTTCCTATTTTTCTTTGCAAGTATTCCCTATTCGACTTAGAAGAGACTACTCTTCATCTTTCTACAAGAACTCGCAATAAATTTGCGAAAGCTAGAATTAAATATAACAAAGATGATCGGATTCCAAATTGCTGCCAAGTAGACTATTAAATAAACGAGCATTGTTTCACTTGTAAAAGCTTTCAATAAGGCTAAACAAATTGGCACGAATGAAAGTGTTGACAAAATAGAGATTGTTACCATACACTTTACAATTTTTGCGTTTCTATTTGCAGTTTGTTGATAAGCTAAAAAGTGAAAAACGAAGGAAATTTTAACAAGAATAATGTAGATTTCAATGTATTGTTTATGGTATAAAATCCTTTCTTACCGTTTCTTTGCGGTTCTTTATTACCTGGTTGCTGTTGGCAAGTAGTTTCAGCAGCTATTGCTCTACCTCCATTCGTATTCGTTGTCAACTCGATTTGAATAAGATTCTGCCTCCTTTTCATAAGTTTCATTCCAATTAAAATATAAAATATACATTGTAAAACAACGCTTAATATGAAAATGGCCGCCATTATACAACTTGCAAAACAATAACCTATACAGGTTTTTCTAAACTCAATTCCAGCAGCTAGAGATAATATAAAGAATACGACACACATTGCTAAGGACGAAAATTTCAATATTTTACCATTCTTGTTTACAGGAACATAGACGCTTATAAGACGTTCATAAGCAATTACTCCTAAAAGTGACGGTGTAAATGTTACACTAAACATTGTTGCGCTTAGGAAAACTTTTACAAAACCTACAAATTCTATCCATAATATTTGTTTCTGGATGACGTCATATATAACATTTCCAGTTAGTGAATTGAATATAGGTATAAAAGATATTAAGAATACGCACGATATCATATTATTCAATGAATATATTATAAACAACATTTGTGAAACATTCATATTCCTGCGTTTTGAAATATAGAAAGCTAACATAAATGAATTACCAATTGCAGATAGTAGAAATATTATAGGTGATACTAAATAGACTGACCATAATTCGGCTTGGCTAAATATATCGGCATAGTTGGCTCTATAACTAACAATAGATGAAAATACTTTCGAATGGGATAAATTCATAATTCTATTCAGCTTTACGATATCGTTATTCTCTTCTTTCCGCTCTCTTACTCTGATTATTTATTCTTTATATGTGTCGAAATGTTAAAAAGCTTTATAAATAAAATAAGTAAAGAGCACATTCATAACAATATACTACTGTTCTATAAAAATAGAATATTTTCCTCAGCTGCGAACTGGTTAGAAACTACTTCTCAACTGATTTTAACACAGTTAAATACTGTATATATTTTAGTAATATAATATATATATATATTAGTGTATTAGTATATAATCCATTTATACATATGTAGTAGTAAAAATAATTCTTCGTAACTGTAATTTGTAATCTATTAATTGTATAGAATTCAATACATCCACGAACGCTACAGTGCACTTGATAAGCTTTGCCTTATGCTACTTTGAGCGTTCTGCATTAATCTCTATTAAATCTATTTTTATTAAACAAATTAGTAACCTTAATACTAAAATGTAAATCTTTATCTTTTATTCTATAAACCTTTATAGTTAACATCAAAATGTCATGCAAAAGAAGTGCCATACTTATTATATATGGACAGAAATGTAGAAGACTTTTACTCTAAAACTTAACTATAGTAGGATTGTGGTTATTTGGTTAAATAGAAGGGGACTTTCTATTAGTTATTACATTTATTTATGACCCTAGTATTTTCAACTTTACCTTATCCTTACAAAAAAGAAAATAAATGGATAATTAACGATGAAATGTAAACCTGGGTTTCATATTATCATAATTTTTAGCTTTTGATTAGACATGTAGAAAACTATTTATGTGTTAGGTTGTCATATTCATACAATAGAAACTGGGGTAGGGGATAGCATTAATTGAGTAGCAAATATTCCAGTTTACAATTAGGACAAAGGTACTGCAAGAAAACTTTCTTGACCAATCACTTCCCCTTTTCAAGTGGAAATGAATATTAAATAACTTTTCATGTTTATATTTATTTTCTACACCTAAATTCTACGGCTATATAAATAATATTTAATTGCGCGAAATTCTATAAGGTTGTTGACTATGAATTACTTTAATAGTTGGGGAGACTTTTTCTTATAGTTTTTCTCTTTGAAAAACAGCACGACGTTACTTAGTACTGTATGCAATTTTTTCCAATTTTTTTTCCTTATTATTCTCTCTCTCTTTCTCCATTTTCGTTACATATCTCCCTCCATCCATCCCTCCCTTTCTCTCCTAGCGTTTCTTTTACTCTCTCCTCTCAGCCATTACCCTTTTTTATGCTTTTATTCTCCCTCACTATGAGTGTGTGTGTGTGTCTGTTAGTCTTTTTTATTGTCTGTTTGTCTTTTCGTTTTTCTTCCCTTTCACTTCCCTATGAAACTCTTTTCTTTGATAAGTATTACTAAATAGTATCATTTCTAAATCTACAAGTAAAACAATTTTTATTCAAGAACTATTAATTCTATTAGTCCTTTTGAAACACCTGCAAGTGAACAAATGACCGAATAAAAGCTCCAAAAATAATCTAAATTTACAATCGAACATAAAGAGAAGAATCGGATTCCAGATGGCATTAAAAAAAATTATCATGAATAAGAGGAAGGATTCAATTTTAAATAATTTCAATAGAACCAGACAAATTGGTGTATAAGATATTGTTGTTACTATGAACGTTGATATTAAACATTTAACCACTCGAAAGTTTCTGGCAGAACTCTGAACTGTTAAAAAGAGATGAGTAAATATTAGGAAAAGAGTTAATTATTTATTGATTTCTTTACCGTTATTATTTTGATTATTGACATTATTAATGGTTCTTCCATCCAAACTCTTAGGTACCGATCTTCTACTCTTTATTCTCTTTATCAACATAATTGCTATTGTAATATAGAATACTATTTGACAAAATGTACTTAATAAGTACGTTGTAGAAAGACTAATATTTGAAAAGCAAAGTCCTGAACAGTTTTTACTTGCGTAGATGCTATTCGTTGCCGAAAAAATAATAGATATACAAATAGCCGAAATGCTAAACCATTTGAAAAACTTTTGCCTTTGGCAAAAAAGCTTATAAATAATAACAAAACGATTGAAGGCTATTAAGCTTAGAAGGCATGCTGTTGACATAAGAAAAAATAACGAAAAGCATACATATACATTCACTGTAAGAGGAAGCTGAAAGCCTACTATCCTCTTTGGATTTAATTTAATCATCACTTCTACAACTGAGTATCTAACTACTAAAGGTACAAAAGCTAAAAAAACTGATACAATAGTATTCAAAAATGAATAGATTAACATCAAAGCATAACATAATTTAGCAGAGCTGTATTTTTTTTCATAATAAATTATTACTAGAACATTACCAATTATTCCAGCAGTACCAGCGAACGGGGCAAGACAATTAAGAACCAATCTCTCACTAAGATTAAACATTTCGATGAATGGTACTTCAGTTGCTATTAATGATGGAGCAGCTATTGGATTAATGTTTGTAATTAGCATCTTGAAAAATCTTCTTTGAATTACCAATAACAATAGGTTTATGAGAAAAAGAGTGGCGGAGGTAGAGAGAGCTAGAGAGTTA